AAAAAAAAAAAAAAACCTTTTGACCCCCTTGGTAACCATTCAACCCTCCGTTTGCATCTTTTTGACCATGGCTTTGTGACCTTTTGAACCCCTTTGTGTCCTTTTGACCCTCCCTTTGTAACCTTTTGAACCCCCTTTGTGTCCTTTTGACCCAACTTTTTGCACTCTTTTGACCGCCGCTTTGCGTCCTTTTGACCCCGTGTGCGGCCTTTTGACCCGTCTAGTCATGGCTGGTGCTTGCTTGATAAGCACACAAGACATGCTCAACTGACTAGATGACTAGATGAGTGAGGGTGTACTCACACTACCTCTATCTTAAATGTATCTGGCCACATTTACGGCCGGACCTGGATACATCTGACTGCAATTACGTCCATAATTGAAGTAAAAAAGTTCCAATGAGTATGCCCTGAGTAGATGAGTGTGCAAACGAGTACATATGTGAGTTCTGAGATCCGTTTCGGTCCTTCGCCTTCCTTCTGTGTCAGGGCATACTGATTGTCTACTGCGTGGGTGCGGGGAATGCAGCCCTAAGGTAGCCAAAGCAATGGGACTAAGCGCACACACGTGAGAGAGAGAGAGAGAGAGAGAGAGAGAGAGAGAGATGCTAAATGGTGAAAATGGAATATGGGTCAAATTTCCTGGAAAGATCGCGAAAAAAATCTACGAGTGTCGAGCACTCCAATTTTCAGGTTTTTTCATGCATTCTTCTGAGCACAAAAAATTGCCAAAGTTGCCTCTTGCAATTTCCGGGACTGGACCCGCCGGTACCCTCCGCCTTGGACAGCCTGCGTGTGGGACTCTCGACAACGCCTCCCCTTCTTACTTCTTTTTGGGGTCTGGTTCCAGCTGATGACCAGTCTCGGTTTTATGAGAGCTAGCTGTAGGTCGTCCGCAATATCGCAAAGGACTGATCCCCCCCAAACTATCGCCAAGGACTGGTCCTCCCAAAACTTTTGCCCCCTGAGAACCCACTTGCGTCGGGGTCGCCTGCCGCTGAAAATGCGTCACATTGACACAGATGCTGAAGCCAACTATACTGCAGCCTCAGGGCCGTGAACAGCCAAGTTTTCTTGGATTGAATCTGACTCATTGATGACCAGACTAAGCCAAAAGAGTACGTAGTGTTAAAAAATGCCCTTAGCACGCACTGATGCCGGAGGTATGTGACCACGTGCAGTAGATGTCTGTGGTTGGCAGATGTGTTGTGGGCTACCATCTTCCCTTGAACACGACGCACTGTCGTCATGCCTGTATCGGACTGGAAAGATTGCTTGTATGCATTCATGCTCAGGGTTTATTGTGTTTGGGGGCAAGTGGTTGGGGGACTTGTTCCCCAGGTTGCATCTGTGTTGTGGCAGATGTGTTGTGGCTGAAAGCCTGAACAGTACGGATCGTCTTTGTTGTACTATGTGCGCTGGGTGCGGTACTCTGTGGGCGGAGTGCAGTACTCTGTGGGCTTGGTGATGTACTATGTGGGCTAGATGTGGTACTATAGTGTACCACAGACATAGCATCAATTTTGTTTTCGTCGGTAGCATAGGCATTGTGCAAAGTTCACGCCAACTTGGCCCAGACAGTGATGTGCCCCTGCTTGCACCTGGCCCCTGTGATGACCAGGTTCATGTTTTCTTGGTGTGGAGATGACATTAGAAAAACCGCCAGTACACGGCCCCAGCCTTGTAGAAAAAGCAACTCGTCCCCACCGCACTGTAGCAATTGCTGGCGGCACCAGCGGAAAAGCTTGGTGCGCAGTAAGGCGCCTCCAGGCTCAGGTGTACTCGTCCCCACCGCACTGTAGCAATTGCTTGGGTACTGGACGACAATGGCTGGCGGCCCAGCCAAGAAAAGAAAAAAAGTGCACAGCTGGTGGTTTGGAAAAGGTTGTGGCGCAGTGAGGCGCCTCCAGGCCCGGGTGCGCTGGTGGTTTAAACCGCCAGTACGCGGCCCCAGTCTTGCAGAATTTGCAACTCGTCCTCAGACTCCCCACCCCACTATAGCAATGGCTAGGATACCGAACCGCAATGACTGGCGGCGCCAGCCAAAAAAAAATTAAAAAAAGGGCGCAGCTGGCTGTTCGGAAAAGCTTGGCGTGCAGTAAAGGCGCCTCAGGCCCGGGTGTACTGGTGGATTTAGTTGATCTTTAGCGCGGGCATTGTGCTAACGATCGGTTGGTAGCTCGAACGGACATTGCAATAGCAAGGTGTGGTGTGGTCGCACTGCTGTAGAAGCGTGGGTTACTAGCTTGATAGTCCGTATGTGGCTGACATGTTGATCAGGTTCATGCTACCGTCTTCACCCGAATATAATGCCCGACCATTTTGGCTGTATTTGGCACAACTTTCAGCCCAGATAGGGCGATAATTACCGGGCGTTCTATTCGGGTGAAGACGGTAGGCTAGCGGAATATATAGCGCAGTGGCGCTTGGCCATCTGCTCATGTGGTCTCCAGGGCACAAGTCCATAAACAAAAAAGGAACTTTAAGAGATGGTGGCTGTTTTCCTTCGTTGTGTTTGTTGTTTGTATTCAGGTTGATTGATGGGCGCATTGAATTTTCTGATTTGTTCGCTTTTTTTTTTTTGTGAGCAGGCAGGCATTGTTTTCGCAAAGTTCACTTGAGTTTACAGCAACATGGTTTCTGAGATGAGTCTCTTGATTGATGGTAATCTGGTTTGCGTTGTTGTTATGGATGTTAAGCTGACTGATTGCTGGGCTGATCAGTTGATTGGTGTCTTTGCCATGGATCTTAATCTGGCTGATTGATGGGCTAATCTTCTTCTTCTTCGTCTTCTTCTTCTTCTTCGTTTTTTGATTGATGGGCTGATCAGTTGATTGGTGCCATTGTTATAGATGTTAATCTGGGTGATTGATGGGCTGATCAGTTGATTGGTGGGCATTATGATTGAGGTTAATCTGGGTGATTGATGGGCTGATCTTCTTCTTCTTTTCTTTTTTTTGATTGATGGGCTGGTCAGTTGAGTGGTGACATTGTTATG